TTTGTATTTGAGTTACAATGATTTGTCTCCAGTACATAAGCGCTGCCTCTCTAGTTGTGTCATCTATCCAAAAGATACCTTGATACATTTGGATGAGCTTATCAGGCTCTGGATGGCACATGGTTATCTTGGTTCGAGTGGAAATGAAGATCACATGCGGAAGATGGGGTTAGATATCTTTAAGAACCTAGAAATGCGAAATTTCTTTCAAGAGTTGGAAAAGGATAAATATGATGAAAGTAAAATCTCTTGCAAAATGCATGATATAATGCATGACTTCGTTACTTATCTCTCAAAAGATGAGTACAGCTTAATCTTGGATGGTGGAGTAGAGATTACGAATTGTGATATCGGAAAAGTTCGCACCTTTTGTGCTAGAAATGTTTCTCAAGAAGGTCTCCCTTTAAATCTCTTTAGCCGTTTAAAATGTGTTCGGGTACTTACTGCGAGCAATTGCGGTTTGCAAGAACTTCCACAAGAGATAGGAAAATTAATTCATTTGAGGTATCTTGACTTGAGCTCCAATCCTATAAGAGAACTCCCAGAAACCTTGTGTGATTTGTATAATTTGCAAACCTTGGATCTCCAAGAATGTCACGATCTCTCTGCACTCCCTGAAGGGATCTATAAACTAATAAATCTAAGACACCTTCTCTTTGATTGCGATTCGAATTCAATTCCTCAAGGAGTGGAGAGATTAACCGGTCTTTGGATTTTGAGCGGTTTAATTGCGGGAAGAGGATCGAGGAAGTTGGGATATTTGAGAAAACTAAACCAACTTCGAGGATCTCTAAAACTTTTTCTAGGAGACTTGACTGAGTTAGAAGACTTGGTTGACGCTGAGAATGCAGAATTGAAAAATAAGAAATACATTCAAGTGTTGAACTTCTATTTTGCTGGGGAGGTGATGGTGGACATAATGGAGGCTCTTCAACCACCTCCAAACCTGCATTATTTAAGAATGTTTGGATACAAGGGCACCCAATTGCCAGTATGGATCACCACGTCCCTTAACTATTTAAGGGTGCTTAATTTGTCACTGTTTGGGAACTACTCATCTTTGCCCCCGTTGGGAAAACTGCCGATGCTTGAGGAGCTTAATATCATATGGATGGATAGCATGAAATACGTGGGCAATGAATTCTTGGGAATAATGGAACCGAATGCGGGACCTGCATTCCCCAAGTTGAGGAAATTGCTTTTTTCCGAATGTGACAACTGGGAAAAGTGGGAGGATATAACTGGGGATGAAAAAGACCATCTCTTAATAATGCCATGTCTCAGGGAGTTAGAAATCATTGGTTGCGACAAGTTAAAGGCATTGCCACATTGCCTCCTTCGTACTCTGGAGTATTTGACTGTCAAGTACTCCTTATGTCTAGCTTCACTTTACGGGGACAGGACTGGAGACGAATGGGACAAGATATCTCACATTCCCCACATTAAGGTAGACAGTTTGGAAGATATAAACAGGTATGATTTTTGTTTAAGAGCGTCTGCTCTTATCAGATTTTTTTAATTTTTTTTTTCGCAGATAGTTTTTCACATTGATAATAAAGTTTGGGGCACCGTAAAGAAAGTTTTTCACATTGATAGTTTTTCGACTTGACTATATTCCTATTTCTATCAACACAAACTCAAAAGAAACAAACTTTCACCATTTGTAAGGGTTTGTTTGGCAAGTTTTGTTTCTTGTAGAAATGTTTCCTAAGAAAACTTTAAAAACCATGTGAAACGGGACC